CGGGCAGACCACCGATGGATACAGTACAGAGAGACGCACACCCCTCCCACGGCACCTCAGCCTGGGCTGCTCTTCCTTCCACCTCTGTTATCACTCGTCAGCAACTGCCATCCTGCATCGTAGTAATGTATCTTCTCAGAAAAGCCACCGGAAAAGCAAAACCAATAAATTAGATTCTCGCTGCCTCCCCCGAAGTTCATCTCCAGTTAGGAGTGAGACAGTCCGCTGCGTCTGAGAGAGCTGTGGACTCAGAGTGCGGAGTGAGCGCAATTACAGTTTCCTCAGTGGGGAAATGGCACTAAGTACTCAGGTCAATCAATACAGAGGGAGGTCAGACAGGAAGACGGGCAGTCAGACCGGTCCCTTCCCCTCTCCTCCAAGAGCCTCTTGGCACCCTGGAAATCAGAAACCAAATCTCACAGGGACCCACAGGGAGGTGTTTCTTATTCAGGTGCGTTTGGGAACCACTTTCCAATCTGCCAAATATGGCAATCAGCCAGTAACTGGTGCTGTGTTTTTGTCCTTGCGAGACTCCATCTGCCTTGCTCACATCGACCAGTGGTGTTTTACAACTCTGCCTGGTGGAAACAGACAATAAATGAATTTGTCTTCAGTGACCGCCCTAGTGAGACCTCCGATTCCCTTCAAGCGAATCACTCCTATTTTTATTTACTTCTTTCCCAAAATAGTCTTCAAACCCTGACGACCAGAGTGGGACACCTTTGACTGGTGTGTCTTCGTTTGAAACGTTTGCAACATGGATAGTGATTGTTTGGCAGTACCCAGCCAGAAGAGAGAGCCGGTAGGCAGTGGTGGTGCACACCTTTAATCCCATTACTCAGGAGACAGAGGCAGGTGGAGCTCTGAATCTGAGGCCAGCCTGGTCTACAAAGTGAGTCCCAGGACAGCCAGGAATACACAGAAAAAACCCTGTTTCAAAACATAAGAAAAGGAAGGAGAACAAGAAGCGAGAGCCATGGCTAACTTTTCCTTACCTCCTCTGCATGGCAGCTGAGCTCACAGCTAAGCCCTAAACTTCATTACTTACTACAGCTCTGCCTAAATTAAAGAAAACCTCTCTGGAGCTCTTTCTGCCAGGATTCTCATATACCAGAATCATCTGCTGGTTCTCTGTAGTCTGTTCTTTCGAACTGAAACACAGGACAGTTTAAAGTACCCGTGGGAAGGATGTCCTACACAGACATCCACACCATGGACTTCAGACTTTAAAGTTCAAACTGGCCCTGGGAGGGTGGAACATTGGTTCAGTCAGCAAAGCATTTTTCTGATTTTCTGATTTCTGATTTCACTCCCCAGAGCCCATATCATAACGCTGGCACAGTGATACACGCTTTGTAAACACAGGTCAATGTGAGCCCTGTCTCAAAGGTAGGTGGCATCCCTGAGGAAAAACACCTCTGCCTCCTCACACATGAACAACACAGGAACCTGAACACACACACACACACACACACACACACACACACACACACACACACTTTTTAAATGTTTGTGCCTGCAGAGAAAGTTTAAGTATTCCCAACGGCTGAACTAAGACTTCTGTGTAGACTCTAAAGGGAGTTGGCATAAGCTGGATATGCACACACTGGTGGCCTGAAAGGGGCTTGTCATATCGTAGCTCTCAAGGTAGGTTGATCACAACTGAACTGCACATCCAGTTTCTTCTGATGAACTCTCTAGCCCTCCAGGGTGCAGTGAAAAAGCCCATTTCTTTCTCTAGGAAGAGAGACCCTTCTGTGATAGTTTGAATGTAATTGTCCCCCATAAACCCATAGGAGAACAGCACCGTTAGGAGGTGTGGCCTTGCTGAAGTAAGTGTAGCCTTCTTGGAGGAAATGTGTCACTGTCGGGGCAGGCTTTGAGGTCTCTTCTGCTCAAGCTTCCCTCAGAGCGATTTTTCAGACCACTTCTTGTTGAGTGCAAAGATGTAGGACTCTCAGCCACCACATCTACCTGTAAGCTGCCATGCTCCCCGTCATAATGATAATAAACTGAACCTCAACTAAATGCTTTCCTTTGTATGAGTTGTCGTGGTCATGATGTCTCTTCACAGCAGTAGAAAGTTTAACTAGGACTCTGTCCCCACTCCTGAAAGACTGGGCTCACTAGTCTTCCTAGTGAACAAAGTCTCCTAATCTCACTAGTGAACTAAGAGCTCGGGTCGGGAGGAACAGAGCCTGCAGGCTCAATGATGAGTGAAAATCATCTCCAAGGATTGACAGGGAAGAGTGTGAGGGAACTTCTGGAGTGGATCCCTGGTCCTGAACCTTTTTGACATCACACAGCTGCATCTGTTTGTCAAAGTCACTACACTGCACACTAAGAAAGAGTGGAATTTTAGCAGAATGTTCCCTTACTCTTCTTTCTTTCCAGGATGGACTGTGGAAATGTAAGCAAAATAAACCGTCTCCTCCTCAAGTTGGTTTTGGTCATAGTGTCTTATCACAGCCATAGAAATCCTATCAAAGACAAAGTCCAAAGGCAGCGGGAAAGCTATATGTTAGCTGAAAAGGAGCCAAAAATGGAAGAATTATCTCTTATTTGGGGCAGAGCCAGCCTTTGGCCCTATTCAGAGCTAACTGGAGCAGATGAGGACCACCTACCCACCTAGGCAGGATAATTGTTTTACTCAGCTGTTTGTGTTAACTGTTAAACTCATCCGAAAACACACACAGAGACCTCAGAACGGGGAGAGCAAGATGGTTCAACAGGTAAAGGCACCTTCTGCCAATCCTGATGTTTGATCCCCAGGATTCATATGGTGGAAAGAGAAAACAACAGGACTTTCTGACCTCGATACATATTATGATATATGTGTTCCCACCCATACACACATACATGCACACAATAAACTAAAATGTAATTTAAAATAAAATGCTTAAGATTTATTTACTTTATGTATTTGGATGTTTACTCTGCATGTACATCTATCTGTCTGTACATCAGAAGAGGTCGTCTGATCCCATGGGACTACAGTTACAGGTGTTTGGGGCCACCATGTGGTTGCTGGGAACTGAACTCAAGACCTCTGAGAGAGTAGCCAGTGCTCTCAAGCGCTGAGCCATCTCTCCAGCCCTAAAATAATTGTTTTAAAAGAAACCTTTGAACAATGGCTGACCAAATATCTGGATACTCTGTCACCCAGTTCAGCTGCAGATAAAACCACCGTCTCTCCTAATTTCTCCCAGGACCTCCTCACCTGGCATCGCCTGTTCCTGCCGTGGCTTAAGATGGTCACTCTACATGTAGGCTGCAGAATGGAATTTCATCTTATGCAAATATAAATCCAAATAAGCTTGTCAGTTAATGAATCAAATTCCTTCAGCGAGGGATGAGTTAAGTACATAATTCAGAAAACCTCTGATACCTCCACCTTCAAAATCTAAGAATTTACGGATCTGGGAGAGAAAAAAATATGTAGTTTTCAGGGAATTATTTTTGATAAACTCAGTAAAGGGGCCGAGCTTTCAGGTCAGACTTGGAGTCACGAGGAAAACAGAATGCAAGGGGGAAAGGAATAAGCAAGTAAACAGCCTCTCTCTTAGCAAGGACGCAACAGTCCTTTCTTAGATGCATTGACAATGATGCCTGAAACCAGAGGGACACTTGTGTAGTGAGACAGAGAAGTTTTATGGTGACCCTCTATTGTCACCAAGGCTTAGTCAGTGGTGTTTAAGTAACAAGAGTGATGAAGGGATCTCTGTGCTTACATTTTACACTTGCAAATCTGTGCTGAATCATATTTCTCTGATGGAGGAGGGTTATCTGTCTATTGTGTTATTTTCATTGGTCAATAAAGAGACTGCCTTGGCCCCTTGATAGGATAGAAAATTAGGTAGGCGGAGTAAACAGAACAGAATGCTGGGAAGAGGGCAATGAGGCAGACACCATGCAGCCAGCCACCAGGTCAGACATGCTGAATCTTTTCCGGTAAGCCACCACCTGTGGTGCTACACAGATTATTAGAAATGGGTTAATATCAAGATATGAGAGTTAGTCAGTAACTAACTCTCTAGAGATAATGGGCCAGGCAGTGCTTAAATGAAACAATTTGTGTGTTGTTATTTCTGGGACTAAGCTAGCCGTGCGGGAGCCGGGTGAGGCGAAAAGCAGGCCTGCCCGCAGCTCCTCACTACATTTCTCAAGCCAAGAACTTACAATGGAATAAGACGCCAAAGGAAGAGGCAGCAGGTTTACCCTAGTCACAAGTGCTATCACTCCCCCTTATTATGGACCGGTTTGTATGCAAAGAAGTGTCCCAGGCAAGCCCTGTAACTGCTGTCTCTGCCCTGCAACCCTTGATCTTTCTGGAATTGTCACAACCCAACAGGACAAGGTTTGGGGCTTCCAGACAGAGCAGGCAGTCTCCAGGGCCTGGTTCTCCCTGTCCCAACACTGGCCATCACCACAACTAGGCTGAACTCTGAGGGTGGTGCTCCCATGAGGACATGCCACGTGGATACTATGTGAGCACCAACACACAAAGCTGGGGGCTGTAGGAAGGACACTGAGCAAACTTCCAAGAATGGAACCACAAAAGTCAGTGGTTTAAAGGCCTCCCACTGCTAACAAGACTAAACAGAAATAAAGAAATACTGGTAGGCTACAGTTATACGGCATGCTTATTTGGAAAATTCCCTAGTTATAGAATTATAAATTTATTGACTGCTTCCGATTTGTTAAACATTTTGCATGCAAATGTGTGTGATGTGGGCATCCTATATGTGTGTGTACATGTGTGTGCAAATGTGCATGCACATATGTACTCATGCCTGTAGAGCCAGAGTTGGTAACAGTGTCTTCCTCAGTAGCCCTCTCTTATATATTGAATCCAAACCTTGCAGATTCAGCTATTCCAGCCAGCCAGGCTGCTCCAGGGATCCCCTGTGTCCACTCCCCAAGTGCTGAGATTTCAGGTAGCTCGCCATCTTTGACTGGTATTCACATGGGTTCTGTGAAACAGACTCCTTTCCCCATCCTTCTGTGGCAGTCCCTTCATCCTCTGAGACATCTGCTCAGTCCCACGGTCTGCTTCTCTTCAATGCGAACATCGGCGAGAACTAGTTCAAGCCAGTTTCCCACTATGTCTGCAAATTGGAGCTCAGGTCGCCAAGGAACCTGATTGGTTTTGTCCGCTCAGTGATTCCTCAGGCCTGGTCTCCACTTCGGTCCCCTGGCATCTCCCATCTCATCTTTCCTTTAGCACCTGTGCGTTGTCACCTGTCACATGCCAGCTCTCCAATGCCAGTCGTGATCACTTCTTCCCCTTCGTATTTCATATCGCAACAGTAAGTGGCAGATGCGTTCACATTAGCAGCCTGGTATCAGCCAAGAAGGGAATGTCTGAACCCTGAAAAGTAGCCAGCACTGTACCCAGAGCTTTCTCTCCAGAGAGCTGGCTGTTAAACAGTGACCAGCCCTTGGCTATTTATAGCCACCTCTTTAAAAGGTCACCTAGCAGCCCTCTGAGGAGATAACACAGTTCACCTACATGGTGCTTATTGTACGCCAGGAACGGGGCACTTTTCCCATTTGGCCTTTTAGAGACAAGGAAAACAAGCAGAAAGAATGAAGCTGTCCAGTGACCCACAGCTCGCTCATAATGCAACATCCAGCAGCCGGGCTTCCGCAGCGTTTTTTGCCCCCACAATGTCCTGCTGTTGCTTTACCTCAGCTCCAACTAACAACTAGGCAACCACCTTTGGAGCCCAGCATCACTGCAGGTGAGCCATTCAGCTCGTGGGAACACTTGCAAGCCCTCATTCATCATCGGAACCCCTGCCGCCTGGAGCCCAGCTCACCCTGGCCGGTTGGGCTTGTGGAATTTAGGTATCCTCGCAGATCCACTGAGCAAATGCATAGCTCCCTAGACTATTCTTCGCAATCTTTAGCTTCCGACGGAGCGCTTTTCAGAGTTGCAGTAGACTTGGGGGGAAATGGTGGCACATTGTGAGTTGCTGGAATCACTCTCAAACATCCAGAGCGAACTTTTGTATTTTAACAAGGGGAAGGAATCTGCGGGTGCTGCCCTCCTTCTGCTCCTGGGATTTGCGGTGGTTCAAGTTCCTGCCTAGGTTTCGGGAGTACTTCTATTACTGGTGGAGCTTCTGAGTTGCTGCAATATGATGGACGCCATTTGACCTCGGCAATGATCCGTTTGCAGAGCAAAGTGTCTTGAGACCTAAGAGTTCTCATAGCGCCCGGAAACTGGCCAGCAGGATGCTGCGTGTACACTTTAGCTGCAGGCTCTGAGCTCCTGCCATGTTTTCTCCCTGGTGGGGGCAGGGAGCACCCTTGGCTGCTGCTTCTGTGCTCTCAGACCAGCGGGAGGTGCAGCTGTGGGCTGGTTGCTAAGGTGCGCTTGCTAAGATGCGCTGGAGTTTGTCAGTTCAGCTTTGACCCAGGAATAAACGCTTCACCAAGAACGGAAGAGAATAAAGCCTCTTAGGAGGAATGGGGGTTAGATAACCGTACAACCACAATCAGCACTGAAAGGAAGTTTATGTTTCATACCTGCCAAGTTCTGTAACCCTCCGGGATCTCCCTTTATTTCCTACATGTCTTAGAAACTTCAAGATTCTATCCAGCTTAGAATTTCTTTTGATTTTCCAAATCCTCTAAGTCACTCCTGTGACAAGCAGGGATGCTGGGGCCCTGTCAGCAGAAACTCTGACCTTTTCTGAAGGCGCCTGTGAGGGCAGAAAGCTCTGACCATAGAAATGAAGGAGAGAAAGGGAGGGATGGAGAGAAGGGGATGTTTTTAATGACTGAACGGAATGCTTCATGGGGGTTCCCAACCCATAACCTTCATTTTCTTTTCTGTGGTTTCAGTTATACCCATTTAAATTTGATCTTAAAAAAAAAAAAAAAACCCTAACTGGAAGATTTCAGAGGGAAGTGGATGTCAGAAGGCCAATAATACTCTAATGCTACATCACCATCCCTACGTCACCTCATCACACAAATACTGCAAGACATCACAACACCACGTGAGCACCAGGTGAGCAGAGCACAAAATAGAGGGAGAGGGGAGAGAGAATGTCGCCCACTTTCTAGTGTTATAACAGTTCCATTTAGCTACTGTTAGGTTTTTGTGCATGTGTAGGAAACATAGGCATAGAGAAGCCATCATATATATTGGACAGGTGCTATCTGTGGTTCGGGTACCCCCTGGGGGTCTTAGACTCTCTCTGTCCTGTCTACCATTTAGGCTGTCCTTCCTTTCCAGGTTCAGAGCTACAAGAGAATGAAGGAGCGGAATGCTTCTCAGCCCCCACCCCTCCCTAGAACTGGCAGAAAAGTGGAGGACTGAGCACCTGTGTCTCTAGGGAGAGAGACGCTGAGAAGCGTGGAAGATTTGGAACCTGACAGGCAGCAGCCCCGGGCTCCTGTGGCCACTAACCAGCAGGGATGAGCTAAGGAAGGAAAATGAGCTTGCAGTTGAGGCCTCTGTCACCAGATCTCCCTCTTAGCCATCTGAAACGTTTGTATTCCTCTAGATAGACGCACGTGCTCTCCTTTTGTGGCCCCCACAGGGCTAATGCCACACTTGAGCATTTTTTGAGGCCATTTTTCTTTCCCGTGTTTGTGAATAAAGAAGAAACTGAGGAAGACACGAACTTTGTGCTGCTTTTTTGTTTTCCAGCAGTGACTTGGAGATCAACGCCAGGTGCCCCTGTAGCACAGAAGCGGCTGTCACGCTTCCTGTTTCGTTCTTCTCACGTGTTCCCCCCCCCCCTCCAGTATGTCCACCTCATGATGCTCTTGGGAAGTGAGATGCTGGCTGACACATGGCAGCGTTCCAGACTCCTGGCCATTAATTAATAACAGAGAACAGGACTGCCCTTTCATTACAGCCTGTGACCTGGGCTCTCCGGGACTAAGTGATTTGCATTCACCCCGCCCTCGGCCCCCAGCTCACCTGTTTCTGTAGTGTTTCGACAGTGTTTCTCAAGCAGCCCATGTGTTCTCGCTTTGTGTGTTTTAACAAAACACTGGGTTTTCTATTTCAAACCACTAGCTGTCTTCCCCGTCCACAGCCCTACAGTCTGCACCCCATAACCCTATAGCCTGCCCCTCATAATTTAATTATATAGCAAAATTTTATTACCTGGAATCACTGACCCAAGGGGAATGACCCATCTACACTTTTTCAGTCATTTTCAGTCAAGGAAGCAAGGTGTAGGAAGCCCAAGCAAAACATTCCAACTGATGCTAGAGTGGGAAGTGACATGTGGGAAGGCCCTGACAGGAGAGCGGTTCCTTGGGAGGGAGACACATAGAAGATCTGAAGTATTCATAGTGTATTGAGCATGCCACAGGTCAAACCACCTCCATCAGCCTAGCCATGCCAATTTGGCATCAGAGCATAAAGTTCTGATTAGATGTAACGATTTCTTCTTATTCCCCTTAGAAGGAGTGGCCATCACCATCTGAGGGTGGCGCCTCCTCTTGGTGTTGGTTCTTTGTTCTGTTCTCTGACGGCTCCCTCAATAAGATCTCAGTTCCTATCAGGACAATGACACGCTTCTGACCTCAACTCCAAGTTTGAAGTCTGCTGATTGGATGCACGGTAGCTCAGCGAGCCTCCTCCATGCCCGAAACAAATTTCCAGCTGCCTGCGCATGGCCGTTCTGATTTTCAGCCTCCTGAGACTCTTTAATACCGCTTAGACCACTAAGCTAATTTTGTGACTCTCAGCTGCTCACTGCCACTCAAGACCAGAAAAGTCCCAGTCAGGGGCACACATGGGCTTCCGGCTCCCTTTCGTTCTCTATGGTGTCATCATTGTCTTCCAGATCTTATTCAGTCTTCTAATTGCTTTTTAGATTTGTCAATTACTTGAAAATAAATTAAGCTCATCAATTTTTTATATACTTTCAAAAATTCTTCAAAAGAGTCCTTAAAACTTTTCAACTTTAGGGCTGGAGAGATGGCTCAGAGGTTAAGATCACTGACTGCTCTTCCAGAGGTCCTGAGTTCAATTCCCAGTCAACCACATGGTGGCTTACAACATCTGTAATGAGATCTGGTGCCCTCTTCTGGTCTACAGAGATACATGCAGGCAGAATATTGTATACATAATAAATATTTATTTATTTAAATATTAAATTTAAATATTAAAAACATTTCAACCTTTGGTTTTCATCTTTGATATTTCTTTTCTCTACCACAAAGTGATGAACATATCATAAGATCAACATATAAAAAATGATTTTCTTTTTTTTTAGGCAGAGGTAGGTGAATCTCTGAGGCCAGACTGATCTGCAAAGTTCCAGGACAGTCAGGATTACACAGGAAACCCTGTCTCAAAGAATCAAAACAAACAAACAAGCAAGTTTCTTAAAGCATAGATTTTTCTGGTTTTTCTTTTATGTTGTTATTTTTCCTTCCTTATTTATTTTTGAGAGAGGGTCTCATTGTGTAGCCCTGGTTGGCCTGGAACTTGCTATATAGACCAGGCTAGCCTCAAGCCCACAGGGACCTACCTACCTTCTGAGAGCTCGGGAGTAAAGGCATGTGCCATCATATCTGGCTAAAGCTTATATTTTTTTAGTTTTTATAAAAATAATGCAAGCTTTTAAAATGGCCATCACTACATTTAAGTGTTATGGCTGGAGAGATGGCTAAGTGGTTAAGAACTGTGCTTACTCTTGCAAGGACCCTGGTCTAGTTCCCAGAACCCACATGGCAGCTCATAATGTATGTACTCCCTGGTTCTAGGTGCCTGGTGCCCTCTCCTCCTACCCACAGGCACAGGGTATGCACATGGCATACATACAAACATGCAAGAAAACACTCATACACATAAAATAAAAATAGATAAATAAATCTAGAAGGAGGAGAAAAAGGAAAAGAAGGGGAGGAAGAAGAAAAGAAATAGCAGGAGAACTGGGCTCAGAATCTGACCTCGAGGTGTGGCACTCCGGCAGGCTGAGCACTTTGGACTGTCAGTGGTTGGGAGGGCCTCACACTGGATGATGAAAATGTGCTGTTCTGCTGTGTCAACAACTTAAGGTTTCAAATGCATCAGAAACCCACTAGATCCAAGAAGATCATTCTGAACTTTGTTCCTTTTTCTTTCTTTCTTTCTTTCTTTCTTTCTTTCTTTCTTTCTTTTTTTCTTTCTTCCTTTCTTTCTTCTTTCTTTCTTCCCAACAGATGAAGCCCGGTGTGAAAGACACTCTCCCTTTTCTAGAAAGAGAAGAAACTCATCCTCCAGGATGAGCTACTGAGACCCAGAGAGCTGTGCACGGTCCTTGGTAAGATAACAGCTGCTCTTTCAGCCCTCCCCACACGTAGTGGCTTCTATGCAACCAACTGGTCTTTGTTCAATTCAGTGTAATTTCCTGTTTTAACTGTTTACTGGGACCTTGTTCCTTTATGAGGACTCCTGTGTCGTGTGTCTTCGCTTCTCTATTGATGCAACTGGAAAACATCATGGCCAAAGCCACTTTGGGAAGAAGTTTATTTTTGTTTAGGTTCCAGAGGGCTAAAAGTCCACCCCGGAGAAAGAGACATGGCAGCAAGCTGCAGGCTTGGCAGCTGGAGCTGCGAGCTGAGAGCTGACCCTTCTCAAGCACAGTGTGAAGAGGAGAAAGTGAACTGTAAGAGGCCCAAGGCCTTAAGCTCTCAAGGCCCACCTCCAGTGCCATATTTCATCCAGCAAGGCTGCAACACCTAAGCCTCCCCAAGCAGCGCCACCCGCTGCGAGCAAGTGTCCAAACACATAACCATATGGGGGACATTTTATTCAAATCATTTTCCACTCCCTGGCCGCCAAAGGCTTGTGGCCACATCATAACACAATATGCGTTTAGTCCAACTTCAAAAATCTCCCACAGTCTCAACACTGTTTGAAAGTCCAAAGTTCAATAGTTAAACACACTGGCTTCTCTTCCAGGGGACCTGGGTTCAATTCCTAGCATCTGCATGGCATCGCACAATTGTCTCTAGCTCCAATTCTAGAAACCCAACACCATCTTTTGGCCTCCACAGGTACCACACACATGTGGTGCACAAACACCTGCAATCAAAACACTCAATACACATAAAACAAAACTATTCTTAAGTTCAAAAATCTTTTCCGAGACTCAAACCAATTTTTTAATAGTAATCTCTTGTTTAAAAAAAAATATGGGAGTGGAGAGACGGCTTAGTGGTTGAGAGCCCTGACTGTTCTTCCAGAGGACCAGGGTTCAATTCCCAGCACCTACCTGGCTCACACCTGTCTGTGACTCCAAGAGTTGACATTCTCACACAGACATACATGTAGGCGAAATATCAATGCACATTGAATTTTTAAAAAGAAAATATTTTTTATAAAAATGACACACCTCCAGCATCCAATGGCACAGAATACGCATTACCATTCTAACTGGACGGAAGGAGCACAGTGAGAAAATGCCTGAAACATACATCTCTCTCTCTCAGGGTGGTTCCAACCCCATATTCAGCTCTCCTTGGCAGATGGCTCCAAGCATCCCAGCACCCTGGAATCACCACCGCACCCCAGGCTTTACTTTCATAGCCTCACAGGGTGACCACTCAGGGCCTCTGACTCTTTTAGGCAGGGACTTGCCTGCCACACATTGCCTGGTGTCCCTCAGTGGCTCTCCGAAACCACAGAAAAAGAATCCACAACTGCTGCCCACCTCACTCTTACATTCTTCATGCCTCTAAAGCTAGCGTTGAATGAATCACACTGCCAACTTTGAGTGTTAGCTTGGAATGGACCCCAGCCTCCTTGAACCACACTAGCAGCACATATTTTATTTCCTTGCTTCCTAAGAACAAAAAACATCTTAGGCTCTTTCACAAGTTGGAAGCTTAGTTGGGTGCGGTGTGACCCTGAGGTGCACTTCTCTTTATTCTAGTGCAGAGCAGGGGGCCTCTCAGGAATTAGAGTTATTCTCTTCCCAACCGGCGGTCTCCCTCAGTACAAGCCTTGGCTGCAGCACTAAAGCCTTCTAGTGCTCTTGGTTCTCCCAGTGGTATGTTTAGTATTTCCTTCTGTTCTACTTGGTCTTTCTCACTGGAGAAGTATATAAACATTATCAGTAATCACAGGTCCAGTGTAATGCTGTCCTGAAATTTCCTCCACCAAAGAAATTGGCCCTTTGCTATTTTGTTGTTGTTGTTTTATTTTGTTTTGAGAAGCATCTCGCTATATAATCCTATGGAGACTATGCTGGTCTCTAACTCACAGAGATCTGCCTACCTCTGCCTCCAGAGTGCTGGCATTAAAGGCTGTGTCATTCAACCAATCCATTGCTTTTCGATTTGGCCTTAGGCAGGTTTTTAGAACAAGGGCAGAAGTCAGCCTGGCTTTTTGTGAAAATATCACAGGAATGGCCTCTAGCCCAGTTGCTGTAAAAATCCTTGCTTCTTACTGAAACCTCTTGAGTTGGGGCCTCTACAGTGGACTTTGTTCTCAGCATTTCTTACTGTCTTCCAGGCTTGGTGTGGGAAGTTCTCCTGTCTATGTGCAGTTTTTATTGGTTAATAAATAAATCTGTTTTGGCCAGTGGCTTAGCAGAAATAGAACTAAGCAGGAAAACTAAACTGAATGTTAGGAGAAAAAAGGCGGAGACAGAGAGAAGCCATGGAGCCACGAGAGGAGAAAGACGCAAGCCACCAGCTGGAACCTTGTGGGTAGGCCACGAGCCTCGTGGTAAAATATAAAATAATAGAAATGGCTATAC